GGAGAAGGGTAAGTGAGGAAGATGCAGCCAAGAAGGAAACAGGAATAAGACTAGGAATCGGACACAGAGCCTTTAGCGGCTGTTCTATCAGACACTTGGTACTCATTTAGTAGGGGGGTAGAAGAAAGAAAGAGGCAAAGGGGATTGGCTAAGTTTCATTTGTCTCTGGAAGAACTAATACCCTTGAAAGCTCACCTGCCTCATGTTGTGTGGAATGAGGGTCATTTCCTCTGGGATGAGTTTGAATGGAGGAAAGACCTAGCCAAGGGAAGGAGGGAACAATTCTATCAGACACTTGGTACTCATTTAGTAGGGGGGTAGAAGAAAGAAAGAGGCAAAGGGGATTGGCTAAGTTTCATTTGTCTCTGGAAGAACTAATACCCTTGAAAGCTCACCTGCCTCATGTTGTGTGGAATGAGGGTCATTTCCTCTGGGATGAGTTTGAATGGAGGAAAGACCTAGCCAAGGGAAGGAGGGAACAATTTTTCTGCTGCAGGATTTTTTAAAACAAGACAAACCATTAATATTAAAAAATACTCTTTGCTCAGTAGTGCACTATACATGGCACTGGGCCAGTCTTGAAGTGCCATGAAAATTCTACCCCCATCTCCCCCAAAAAACCACACAAGAGCTAAAAGAGCCTATATTTTAGAGACCACATGATTGATGGTAGCTCAGTATCTGAGCTCTTTGCTACATGCAAAATAAATCACGCATGCATCTCTCTCAGCTGATTATGCCATAGCCCTGTGAGAACTCTACAAAGGAGAAAGGGACTCTCAGTTAGCAACCACTCTCTGCTTTGTAAACATCAGGGCGACACAGAAACATCAGGGCAACACAAATTTTTACAAGGAAAACGGGATAATTTGGTAAAATATACAAATAGCAGCATGTTGCCGTTGCCATTTCCAAGATCTCTGATTTCTTATAAGATCTTTCCATTCTTTCATGGCTGTCAAACCGCCTAAAACCCAAGCTTCTCAGGCCAATGCCATGCAAGTGGGTTTTCTCACTGCATGCTGAAGGAAATGTTTCTGGACCAAGCAAGAAGCATCTGAAGACAGGCAGGCACATTGGGAGCATTCTTACTTCAACCTTCCGAGGCGAAGAAGTGAATTTTCTTCCCATCTTGTCCCAGGCAGTCGCCACCAACGTTGTCTGGCCGACTGCAACAGCTCGGAGCATGTAGACTTCAGAGTATTCACCCACTTCCTCCATTAGCCTGCAAAGATACTTACCGGTGATTTCACTGTTCCCACCCCATGTTAAAATCATGCAATGCGGGGGACAGATAATGGAGGACTGGAGTTTACAAGGAGCCTTCAATACTGAGATTCATGCTTCTAGACAGCCATCACAGCCCTAGCCCCAGAGAGTTGCACAAGGCTCTGAGAGGCAGAAATACTCTGTAATACTCTTGTGGCTAAGCTGAATCATGTAAATGCTCTGGAATCGATTCTTTCCAGGGAAATTAATATCTCCTGCCTCGTGCACCCAACAGTTCCGTCACGATGTGGCAAGGGTTAAATCCATTAAACTGTCCTTCATTTGCTCTGACATCACTGCTGAAGATTAAGATATTTATAAGTAAATACAGATCTTTTCACCTGCCTCCACATTAAGCAAGCAATGCAGTACTAAGATAAACTAGGGACTCCAAGAAAGCTATTTTAATCAAAAGAGCTATACATTTATGGACTAGCCATGTCAGACATAAACCATGTAAACCTATTTAATACACAGCTATATTTTTCTGTGGCAAGGGGATTCTATGGTAGTGTAGAAACTTGAGTGAGTGATGAGAGCTGAGATAACACTTTGTTTTCTACATCCCTTTTCACTGACGACCTACAATGCGGGTTACAAATATGAATTAAGCCTGGAACCTACCCTATGACGTACTTATGTATGATCCTAGCTTTACAAAAGATTAAACCTAAGACATGGGGAGGTTTCCCAAGAACACAAACACTGAGTCAGTGATGTAACTGGACAGAATGAAGGGGTCCAGACATTTAGTCCCTACAACACCCCGTTAGCCAGGGGATGGACAGGGGGCTGGGTTTTGATCTGTAACAATCTATTCTGCAGTACTGGAGGGATATTATCATCTGTTATTTGGTAGAAATGCCTCTGCAGTACTCACACAAGTGTAACAATGGCAGATGCTGCCTGCAGTCTCAGCTTCATGTACTTGAAGTATTTACTCTGGAACGGATGTCGATGGAAACCAAGGACGCGCACGCTGGCGAGGACAGATTTGCCAATTTCGATCTAGGTAAGAAAAGCGCTTTTACTATTTTGGGTGGGGTCCTTCTACCTGTGCCTGCCTTGGGAGGAGCTGCAAAAGGGCACCATCATTTGCCTCCCCAATTCTCCTTCCCACCTGCCGAGAAGCACTCACACAGGCAAGACATTCAGGGGGGTCCACGCAGGCACCATCTCCTCTCACTGTCATTGCTTGATCAGAAACAGAGTTGCTGCTGCTCAGTTCCAGAGGAAAATGCTTACGCCCCGCCCTGCCCCACCCAAGGAAGAAGAGTAGATACGTGGGAAGGAGCCTGGAATGGCTAACCAAGTATTAAACTAAAACCACAACTCCTCTTGAAGTCCTGTGTGCCAATCTTGCATGAAGTGTACCAAGCCCAGCTAAGTGGGTCATGCGAAATCTTTGTGCTCCACAGGATGTGAAGAACAAATCATAGGCATTAGAGAACCAAAGGTAACACACATATTTTTGAAGTCTCAAATCTCAAAATCACCACCCATCACAGTTAAGAAGTGATCTTCTTTACAAAGAGAAAGATGGGTTTCTTCATGATGGAGGGTGCATGAATGCATGCTGTGTAGTCACATATTTTGCCTTTGGGAGTCAACAGCATATTGGAATATCCAAAAATGATGTTATTGGATGACCAGGTGAAGGGCTGCTGTGTTGACAGTGTCTTTTGTATTTAAGAAGATATATGCACAGAGATTTCTCTACCGGCATGAAAATTAAGCAAATATCTCTTGAAAGAAAAATTACTTCATAGATGGCTCCATACAGTGCAAAAAAACTCAAACAGTCAAAGTTTAAACAGAAATAAGAAGAAATAAAAAAATCACATCCCACCAGGCTAGATTTTTTTGTTGTTATTTCCCTAAGATTACCTCACCTTATCAATGAGATCCACCTCCAATTCATGCATATCAGACACACGAAGAGAGACAGTAGCCGGTCCCAGAAATGCCAGACAGAGATCATAGACCTCCAAGATTAGAGATCCAGGCTGCAAAGGGATGATCTACAAGGAAAGTTAGACAACATGGCCAGACTATCTGCAATGGATAGTGAATTAATATGCACTTCTTTTACCAAAAAGCTAAAGCTAAACTTGTACAAGTGATCAAGTCTACCATGCTGCTGAAAAGTCATTGTTCGAACAACCCTGTAAATGACAGAGGGAACAGTTCTGTTAGGGTCATTCAGAAGCAATTACAGGAGTGTTCCTACAGTACAGTTACTAGAGCATTGTTCAGTCTAGTGTTTTCACCACTTCCCTTGGAAATTATTTTACAGTCCATAAGGTCACACTGTCAGGATGTTTCTCCCTGATATTCAGGCTATAGAATGTCTCTCTACAGGAAATCAAAGTTGACTCAAGTTTGATTTCTGACCCCGCAGCTCACTCATGTCCCTGGATCAGATAGTATCAAATAATTTATTGTATTATATTTAGTGCTACAGGAAACAGCAGAAAGGAAAAATATACGAGATAATTAATTTTGACTGAGCAACTATAATGGTTAAAAGTGTCACTCTACACAAGATCTGGAAGTCAGCCAAGTCCCTAAACATATAATAAAACCCAAATGGTAAATAAAATCTATACCCAGTAGCTGATGCTGTGTATGTTGTACCATTTGGTGACAGGCATTCTTTAAGCCATTATTCTAATGCTTTCTATTATTCAGAAATCTATTCCAACAAATATTTGGCTCGCTTTCCACACTTGCTTGCAATAAAACAACGCAGTGTGTTACAGAGAACTGCATAAACAATTCTGGAGGCAAAAGGAAATGAGGGATGGAAAGCAAGAGACAATATCTATTTCTTTCCCAAGGGAGCATCTCCCTGTGAGACTGTGAACCTGGGCTTTTCTCCAGGGCAAAATATCTTGCATGTGTTTACCTCAATAGCACTCTCTGTTTCCCGGTAGGTAGTGTTTACAGTCTCCTTTTCACTGTTGTTGACCAAAAAGTATCCAGACCCTTCCACTAGATCAAATATTTCCTTAAAGAGGACAGAAAAATGAGTAAAATCCTACTGGACTGACTCCCTCTACCAACTCAGAGTGCTGGCTCACTCCCTGAGGGTTCACCCCCTGCAGTCCTTGCTCTCACGCAGTCTCCAAAGAGAGCATTAGCCCAAGTAAGCATTGAGAATTGCAGGCTGCATGGAAACATTTAAAAAACATTGCAATAAAGGCTCAAACAATAAGTAAATCCCCACTTTAAAAAATCCCCCCAATGCCAGTATGGCTAAATATCAGAGTAAAAGAAGGGATGAGAGACACAGACATTGTTTAAAAATTGGAAGTCAAAGCCTACTGAGGAAAAACCAGAAAGGAACACGAACTCTGGTATCCCGGGCTCTTGTACATTTCAAAAGCAGAATCGCAGCGGCGGAGACTGCTTCAGTCCGTGATTGCACCGTTTCCGCTGTGCCTCTACCTCCCCTGCCCCTCGCGGAGACGGTGCCGGGGGGAACCGACTTTTAAGCCAGCTCCCCACAGCACCAGCTTCTGCTCCTCCCCCCAGTTACCTGACAGAGAAAGCAACAGAGGGCAGGGGTCGTATCACTAATTGACTATCGGATAAGCTTCTGCTTATCAGATAGCTGACTATCCGCTTACAGCCCCACGCGATCCATGTCGATATACGCTGTGAGGAATGGGGAGATCTCTCATTCTCCTGTGATGCTAATAAAGAGCTGAGGAGTTTTACGGAACGGCTTTGTGAGCTCAATACAGACTCACAGAACACTAGAACTGGGAGGGACTGCGAGAGGTCACCAAGCCCAGTCCCCGGCCCTCACGGCACAACACAACACCATCTAGAATGCCAGTGTGTGCCTGACATCTAGGGGATGAAGCGCTTGCTCCCTCTTGTTCACGTGGGATTTTGGAAAGAACATGGGGAGGAAAACTTCCTGACTGACAGGAAACTCCGACCCCACGTTATGGAGGGAAGTGGGGGCCCAGCTGCCCCTCATCTTTATAAAAAGAATCGCATACGGGGGCTCAGACATCAGTGCCCTGAGCTCAGAGGCCCTCATAGTGGAAGTGATCGCCACCAGAAATACTGCCTTCCAGGAAAGAGGACAGGCGATGGTGGGCACAAACAGAAGGCCCGTGAGCTCGGGTAAGGTGAAGCTGAGGTCCCACTGGGGCACTGGTGGCTGCACTTGTGGGTAGAGCCTGTCCAGGCCCCTGAGGAAGCAGCTGACCACGGGGTTAGCAAACACCCTTCTACCCCGTCACCAGGTGAAAGGCTGAGACAGCTGCCAGGTGTACTCGAACTGACAGCAGTGCAAGCCCTTGTTGTTTAAGGGACAGTAAGGGTACGTCTAGACTACATGGCTCCATCGACGGAGCCATGTAGATGAGTTTACTAGACATAGGAAAATGAAGCAGCGATTTAAATAATCGCCGTTTCATTTACATCAAAATGGCTGCCGCGCTGTGCCGATCAGCTGTGTGGCGGCACAGCAGGGCAGTCTGGACGCGCCGCGGTCGACAAGGGAAGTCTCTGGAAAATGAGCACGGCCATATCCAGTTTGAAGAACGAGCAGCTGAGATGATCTGTCAGCTCGTTCTGGGCCCCTGGGAAGTATGAGGCCGTCAGGTGTATTGAGTTCGCAATGCAAAATTCCTAAAGATTTCGGGCTTCTTTGCACAGGGGAGGAATGCACACCACCCTGTTTAGGCAGAACATTGCTGCTGTATTGTCCAGGAGCACTGCTACACAGGCCCCTTGCACATGCTCCCTGAAGGCTTGGCATGCAAGCTGCACCACTCTGAGTTCATCACACTGATGAGAAGGGCTACCTGATCTTGTGACCTTAAACCCTGGGTCCTGATCTTCCCCAGGTGTGCCCTCCCAGGGTCGTGGCATCTGTGACAAGCACCACTATTGGTTGGGGTCTGGCTAATGATACCCCTGCACAGACCACGTGGTGCTGCAGCCACCACATAAGTGACAGTAGGACAGGTGGAGGAAGGGTCACTACCACGTCCAGGGGATCACATCCAGGCTGGTGCATCTGCACTAGCCAAGAGTGGAGTGCTCTGAGCCACCGTCTGGCATGCTGGACTACATATGTACATGCTACCATGTGTCCTAAGAGTCCTGTGCAATTCTGCACCGTTACTGTGGGGAATTGGTATTTTCAGGGTCTGGAATCAGCTCTTGGGTAAGGAGGTTCTGGCTCCCTGTGAGTCTCACAGAGCACTTACGAATTCTATCTGTTGTACAGGCGTCAAAATGGATTTGGGTGCATTGAGAACTGGGCCCAATTTCAGGAGAGTGGCTCAAGCGAGGGCTACATGCTCCTTGGCTTTGATAAGCCAAGCATCCACGTGTGGAAACACGTGAACCCCGTGTATGGCGCCCTTTGCCATGCTCTCTGTGAACACACAGGGAGGGGGACTGATGATCGGTTGAACGGAAGCTCTCTGAACTGATAGTGGTTACCCCCTACAACAAACAAAGATCTCTCCTGTGGGCTGGAAGGACGGCTATATGAAAGTATGTGTCTTTCATGCCAAGGGTGGCACACCAGTCTCCCGGATCCAGAGAAGGGATAATGGAAGCCAAAGAGGCCATAGGAAACCGCTTTTTCATTATAAAGTAACTGACGCCCCTTAAGTTAAGGATTGGGCATAGCCCCCCCCTTTGGCATGAAGAAGTTATGGGAATAAAACCCCTACCCCAAAATTCCTGAGGAACCTCCTCGATAGGCCTAAGCCTAGGAGTGACTTTACCTCCTGTTGAAAGGTCCCTGAAGAGAGCTTGGGAAGAGGGATGGGAGGGCACAGAACTGGATAGAGATCCCGATTCCACTGTGCTCAGGACCCAGCAATCAGTGGTAATGTGGGTCCAGGCATGGCAGAATCAAGACTAGTGGAAGAGGATCTGGTAACTGGTACTTCATCCTGGGGCGCACCTTTAAAACTGGGCTTAGGCCCCTATGGGTTTTATTAGGCCCTGCTCCTGGCCAGAGGACAACAAATCGCTCAATCAATTGCCCCACTCGGATCATTCCCTCTGCAGCGAGAGGACACTGGCCTAGATGGACCATTGGTCTGCCCCAGTCTGGCCATGGCTATGTTCTGATGAGTAAAAACTGAGTAAAGGCCTCAGGATCTGGCCCTAAGTGATGAGGTGTCAAGAATAGCCAGCGCTAAAACACTAAGCTGTGATTCCCCCGAAGGCGACCCCGCTGACCCAACAGGAATTAGCTAATACCATTTATCCAAAATAACCGTGAATGGTCCAGCCGGGGGCTTAGTGCTTTGCATTTTCAAATGGGAATCCCAAGACAGGCTACGCACTGCTCACTGGCCGGTGGGCAGGACTCGGGAGTGCGCCAGAGACACGCCACAGAAGGGTGACGTAAGGCAATGCACAGCGATTACTCCCGACGTGACGGCACTGTCTCTTGAGTTCCACCGAGACAGGCCAGGACAAGCCGCACTATGAAGAATCCTCGTGGGCCATATCGCTTCATGCTGATCAGGAACAGTGGAGCATTGCTACCCTGTGAACATAAGCAACCCCTGCTGTCCAGCAACACACTGTATTTACATTCCATTGAGCAGAATGGGGAAGATCATTCCATGAAGCAGGGATCAGTTATGCACAGATGGCCATGAGCTGTGTGCAGGGACACACATTCCCGGTCTTTCACATGCTCTCGAGGGGGTTGAGGGGAAAGTCCTCTCCTGATGGTAAAAGGCTACAGACTACATCAAAGACTGATGGGATATGATTAAACTATACTAATAACATTCTTACCTTCACAGCGGGATGATTATATATAGTGGCATTGCCTGGCACCACCGTCACATCCTCCACCAATAACAACTCCACCGATGTGGAAGTAGGCAAGTTAGTGACTTCCTGGAGCAGAGTAACCAGAAGCAGACAGAAGTTAAGTGATGTTCATATTCCTTCTCCTCACAAAACCCCAGACCTTCTCTCCCACACTCACAGCTGTAGTGGGAGTGCACCAGCACTTCTCCCAATTTGCTGTAATGGCAGAAATAGGACTTTCCTCTTAAGTCAGGACAAGGCCCAGCATTCAAACCTGAAGATAATTTTATCTGCGCAAACCTAACCTGCCCAGCTCAATTTATCACTTTGCTAGACAGATCAGTCAAAGATCGGCCATCCATACTATGCCCAAACGTGCCCCAAAATGTCCTCTTCTACTCACTCTTGGACTGCCTCTCTGTGAATACTTCACAAAGCTGACCCCAATTAGAACAGTCCCTTTGATGTGGTGCACCTCCAGGAGCTGATGCCCTAAGTAATAGAGAGCAGACATTTCACTGGAAACAAAAGAGAGAATTTGAAAAAGAAAAAAAAAAGGGGGCAGAAACATTCCACGGCCAAGTAGGGAGAAGAGTGAATAGGATGCAATATTTACAAATGAGGTTCATGGGCAGTAATTTCAGTGTTAAGAATTGGAAGCAATTAATTAATTGTTAGAAATCTACTTGGATTGCTCTTTGATAGTGAAATCACACACATATACAATCCATTGCCCATGCTATGGCACTTTTAAAGTTTGTAACAGAGTAGCAGTGTTTGTCTGACATACGCCACCCACCCTGCAAGCAGACTGAAATTCTGCTGGGAAGGGTTAAGTGGTTGCTGCTGACTCACTTAGGCAGGTGGCTTGGTACTTGCAGATATAAGGGAACTGGGATTGGCTCACTAAAGAAATGACCTAGCAAATGGGCTGAACAGTCCTTAGGGAAGAACCTAGGAGGAGCCTGCCTAAGGAGGAAACTTGAAGTCTGAGCTTATTTATGTTACATAAATTATTTATTAATAAATCCAAATCCTTGGAAGAGCTTGAGTTTTTGACTCTACACAGTATGCAGATTTAGGTGCTTTAAAAAGGCAGCTCTTCACATTCAGCATGGTCAGAAATGTTCCACCTATAGTAACATCATGACTTTCTCCTTTAAGTTTTAGTGTTATGAATCTGGCCACAAACTATTCCCTAAATGCCTGTATTTCACAAATCATATTATAAGTTTCAAATTGTTAGAGAAAGTGAAGCCCACATATCATAGTGAAGCACTGATAGATTACATCAGGAGGAAGGAGAGAGAGGGTTTGACCTAAATGCAGTACGGGAGTAAGCAGTTGCAACGCTGACTTAGTTGGAGTTCAGTGTATAAAACTGAACAGGTACCGTGCAATCTGGTCTGTCCACTCCCATCATCCTTTGCTACCATCTGCATGGACCGTGAGTCAGTAAAGCGTGCGAGAGTTTCATTGGCTGATTTCCACTCCAGCACCAGGGAGCTAAAGTTGTCAAATTTCCGCCGATGTTGATCAAACACGGCCAGCTCCAAAACTGTATTCCTCAAACTGGACACAGGGATCTACACCCAAAATGACAGAACTCAATCTCATTAGTAACTCAGCCTGATTCTGGAGGAAAACCACCTTGTACAAGGCAGTCCATAGCCTCCTTCATCTGAATGAGAGAGAAGCAGCCAGCCTAAGGAGACTACAGGGCCCAGGATGCTGTGAGTTACTGCCAAATGACACATGACCGTCTCAGCCAGTCTGATGGACAGAGGGACTGAGCTGAGACCATCAAAGCATTTGACAGAGGTGAGTCCATCTTCAGATAATGTATTTTCTGGTAAAAAAAAAGTATCATTTTATGCTACAATGCTTCATTTGGACATCAACCACATCACATACATTGTGGGTTCCTAGTCACCCTACAAATGATTATAAGAAAGGAGGGCTATTTGTTCTTTTAAAACCATAGAAAGTCGTACCAGCTGCTTGTTGTGCTGAGGCAATGGGCAAGGCTGGGCACCGGCAGCTATCTTGTACACTGGAGTCACAGACATACTGGCTGGATGAGCACAAATAAAAGTCACCTGCACAGTTTCCACGGCAGGACTGGGGTTTAGGACCCCTGGCTGGTTACCTACTTGGAGTGTAAGCACCTGCAAAGACATGCAAGGCAGATGGTTAAGCAGCAGGCGTTTCAGTTTCAGCTATCCACATGGCTGCATGTTGAACTGCATCGCAAAGTGGGATTAAAGAAAACAAAAGCAAGACCATACCAGGTCAGGGGCTGTGATAAAAGTCTAATCTGAGACTGAGAAATACACAAACATTCCATGGGGGGATTTTGAGAGGCCAAGGGAGAAACCATCACTAAAGAAGATCTTTGCACAGGATTCTTGTAAGTATCAGCTGCAGCATTACACTATCCCTTTTTCTATTTCCACACTGAAGTGGCCAGTCGGAGTTTCTGAAATGGCTTTTAGGTACACAGGAGTCTAACTCTCCCTCGCTTAGCTGGTGCTATTGCAAGCCATGAACTTTCCTGTCAGGAGAAATGGAACATGGTTTTCCATGGTATGGCTTTAGGTGTGAGATTCTGGCCACTCTGTAGCCAGTTGGTTATTATATGGCAGAAAATGTAGGTGTGTTTCCTACCTGCTCCCCCAGCTCCAGGCACAAAATCCGGTAAATGTACTGGTTCTGTTTCCTTGTAGTTGGCAGCCGGACCTGTGTAACCTCAATCTTTCCTTCATGCTCTACAGTCAATTCCAGGAAGAAGCGAGATGGTTCCAACACCCATGGCCCAGGCCCTCCTTCAAATACCATCTGCTTCACTGCCTGCCAGGTCACCAATGCCACCTGCACTGGGTTTAAAGCCTGATTACACACAGAGACATGAGCAGACGCTGCTATTTTAATCTGTTTTCTCAGCAAGGACATACAAAAGGTAAAGTCTAGAATACAAGCAATGGGACTGATTCTCATGTACACTCAAGCTTCTTTATACCACTTGGCATGCAAGGGGCTTTTAAATGCAGCCGTCCACTTCCACGCCCCTTTACACTTACAGTGGGGTAAAGGGGCCTAAGTGTGAAGGAGAATTTGGACCAAAAGGTTGAAAATGACATAATATTATAGACAGAGACCATATGCTATCAGATCTGGGGTGGACTACATTGAGTTCTCTGTAAGAAAACAAATATTATATAATAAACTGCCTCAAAAGTAAAAAAGACACCTTAGGGGGGCAGCAGAAAGCTCGGCTAACGGGAGAGGAGAAATTACTACTGAAACAGAGGATCCGCTCAGATGCATCTGATGGCTTTTCACAAAAGGAATTTGTTCAATCCTCTGAGTCTGGTAGGATGAATATGGTTACAACTGAGGCCAGGTGTAACATCAAGGAAAAAGTTATTTGGGAGGAACCTCTACCTCCCAGAGAAAAATACAGCAACGTTACAGGGTGATATGCTTTAAACTCCCCAAATGTTAATTAATAAAACCTCACAAATCCCTCAGCGGGGTAGGGGTAAAGGCCCCTCTATTTCTGACCACACGTCCATGACAACATAGGTACGGGCAGGTATCCATAACAGACTGGACGTGCACTAGCACTGCTGCCTCCCCACCACCAGCAGAAGCACAGAAGGGAAGAGAGCGAAGACAAAAGAATGGTTCAAACAGGAGGGAAGGGACGAGCGAAAGGGGAGCACCTCCTCACCTTGAGAGGCTCATAAGCAGCAAACGTGGCACTGGTTTCGAAATACTCCTGGAACACTGTAACGCTCGCCCTGACTAACGTGTGTCCCAGGGACTTTGCTGCTAGCTGGATGCTGGAGCAGAAGGCCAGGCCAGGTTTCTGATTACCTGCACATTTGAAAGCATTTTTAAGCACTTTCTACGTCTCCAGTGAGCAAGGCTGGTGTCTGGCCAGGGGTTACAGAATCCATGCAATAGAACCCATGACTTCTCAAGTTTCTCTAAATGTTTCCCAGACTGTCACCCTCTCTCCACTTGTCCTGTCCCTGCTAGTTGGTGGAAGAGTCTAATGATACAGTGCCACACCTTAAGGTAGGATGACTATCCCTCTGTCTAGCTGCCTAGACCTGGTGACTGGCTGATGTAGTACTCAGACTGGAAAATGGGGAAATAAATTATAAATCATGGGTTCCCAAACTGGGGTGCGTGCCCCCCAAGGGTGTGTGAAGAAATTCCAGGGGGGGAGGAGCGTGAGGTAACCAAGACCCTCCATCAAGTTTTGCTGCCCTGCTCAGTTCGTCTTTTTTTTTTTTCTCAACAAGTTTTAATGCTTTGGGGGGGTGGGGGAGCATGAGGGTTTCTCAAAAATCAAAAAGGGGGCGTGATGCCGAAAAGTTTGGGAACCACTGTTGTAAATGGAAATATTGTAAGAAGTGATCAGGTTTAAAGCTCGTCTATCTTACCCTCTTCAGCAAGTATGAAGACTCCTTGCTTATCCATGCCTATGTCCAGGGATAAGAGGGAGCAGTCAGTAAAAGCAATGGTCTCCCTGGTTTCCCTATCGGTGTGGTACATCATGAGAGGAACTTCCAAAACTTGCCCAATCTCAATGTCAGCATGAAATGGCAAAATCTCCATCTTCGTCAGCTTCAGGACATACACCTGCACTGACAGAGTCAGACAGCAAAGCAGGAAGAGTTAGCTCACGCGGGGTTAGAATTGTGCCACTGCAAAGGAGGACATCAAGTATCTTTCATAACAGGCAGTCAGAATACATCAAAGTGGAAGCCACCTCTTGCTTAGCAGCTGAATTCCACTTGCAGCCTTAATCACATAGGCAGAATTCCAGCAGACAGGTTTAAGAGCTTCAGCTGATTTTATGGTTACTGTACAGCACCAAGCACCTTGACTCAAATAAATCTTAGATTGTGGTGCTCAGCAGACAATTGTTAACATGAGGATAAGAAGCTTGTGCTTAACAAACAGCAGCAACACGGGGGTGCGATTCCACTCCCTCCCTCCAGTGAACACGAGGGGTAACTCGTCTGAAGCGTGGAGCTGCAATGTAGGTCAGAGAAAAATCAAATCAAACCTGCTCTGCAGACACAAGTTTGAGATATCTAAACCTAGATAAGAGACCCCTTTGTCACTGAAGCAAGATCTGTCAGGAAAGGACTTGCCTGTATTTCTCCATAATGGAAGGGGTTCTGCACGTCTCTCGCCTGTACTGTGCTCTGCCCTCTGACCATTCCTGCAGTCACTACTCCTTTTATGGTGACTGTGACTACAGTCTGATTGGAAGAGGTCCATGTGAAATTGCCACTGCCTCCTTCTACCTATGAAACAGCACAGGACAGAGAAGGCAAACAGTGCAGATTACCATCAATGAGGGTACTAGAGCAGGAGGAAGATTGTGTGCAGGGATCTCCAAGCATCTTGCCTGCATTCATTTAGTCTTCCAATCTCCCTGTGAGGGGGACAGCCAGGGAAGTATAAACCGTACTGATACAAATGAGACACAGGCAAGTTGGTGGCAGAGTCAGGAAAAGCCAGACACAGAACATTGTCTCAGCCCCCCTTCCAGCTGCACACACAGTACAACTTAGGATAATACAAACATGCAGTCGGTTTGAAGGCTGAAGATAAGCGGGGCCACGAACATGAGTATGACCAGTAAAGGTAGAAACAAGAAGAGATGCCGGCAGATGAAGCCTCAGAGAAACAGGCTTCCCAAAGAGCAGTTTAGGAATTAGGACAAGGTAAATGAGACGTCTGTGAGGGAGGGAAAACACAGACAAGCCTTGTGAAGAGGAGAGGAGCTTGCAGAGGGTTAAAGGAAACACTAGATATGATCTGCCCATGATGTTGCTAGCTCAGGGGCCTGTTCCTGTCCTCAGTAAATTCAATGAGCATTTTGCCCTTTATTTTAATGGGTGCAAGATCAGGCTAGCAAAGAAAGACAGGCTGATAGCCCCTCTCACTCAGCACTGAGGATACTCACAGAGTCTCTATTTGGCTAGGAATAATTAATAAGCTTTTCTTTTCTCATATCAGAGAGATCTTCCTAGTGTTCCACGCCATGTATACTTCACCTGAACTTTGTACCGATACAAGATTTCCAGGGGATGGTGTGGAAATGCGAGGAAGGAGGGTGTCAGCTTGATGGGCAGGTAAATCTTCACCTCCTGTTCATGGCTGATTGGGACAGGTAAGTAATCTTCAGAGCCAGTCTACAGACACAAAACAAGGAACAATAATCTGTCAAACAAAGAGGCTCCACTCAGAAACGTGGTAAACTAGTGCTTAGCTAGCACTAACGGTATACTAGTGCTTAAGAGACAATACAACAGGTGACAGCGTGGGGCAGCATGTGCAGACGAGGCATGCCATGCTCCTCCCTTCAAGCTGCTGACAAGTGACACTTTGTGAAGAAGCAGTGGCTCCTAGTTATACCGATCACCAGGAAAACCAGGTGGGAATAAGGAAAACCCTGCTTCTATTTTAAGTCAATAGTTTTTTTCTGTTTTGTATAATTAATCAAAATTCCTCGAAACGTGCAGTAATACCTCCAGCTGTTGCCTCTCACAACTGAGGCCAGGTCTACATTAGACCTGGAAGGTCAGCTTGAGGTACGCAGTTCCAGCGACACAGAATACATAGCTGGAGTCAGCTTACATTACACTGATCTTGGCACTGTCCCCATTGTGGGAGGCCAAGGAGCAAAAGCTCCCTTTGGCTTCCCTGAGTCCTCACGAATGCAAGAAGTACAGACACCAGGCAGAGCTGTCCTCAGAGTTTAATATACGGCTGCATCTAGACTGGCATGATTTTGCGGAAATACTTTTAATGGAAAAGCTTTTCCATTAAAAGTATTTCCGCAAAATCATGCCAGTCTAGATGCAGCCGTATATTAAACTCTGAGGACAGCTCTGCCTGGTGTCTGTACTTCTTGCATTCGTGAGGACTCAGGGAAGCCAAAGGGAGCTTTTGCTCCTTGGCCTCCCACAATGGGGACAGTGCCAAGATCAGTGTAATGTAAGCTGACTCCAGCTATGTATTCTGTGTCGCTGGAACTGCGTACCTCAAGCTGACCTTCCAGGTCTAATGTAGACCTGGCCTCAGTTGTGAGAGGCAACAGCTGGAGGTATTACTGCACGTTTCGAGGAATTTTGATTAATTATACAAAACAGAAAAAAACTATTGACTTAAAATAGAAGCAGGGTTTCTGCGCTAGACCCACTAAATTAAACGCCAGAACATCGATCTCCAGTGCAGCCAGTGAAGATGTGCCCTGAGAAATGTAAAGTTTGTCACCAAGCAGAGAGAGGGGGCAAAACCAAGATTTCATAACAGGAAACTGCTGCTGCAGTTATAAAAACAAAACTGAAAGACTCTAAAGAGCAGCCCTTAATGTTTGGTTTGTATGGCGGAGCTGAGGTGTGGGAAGCCATCGGACCTGCACCCCAATCCACAGCCAGAGGGGACTCTGAACCAGCAGGGAGAACAGAAGGTTTATTAGTCCACAGGGACACAGCGTAGAACAGACTTCTCAGCACAGACACCAGAAGCTGTCAGCACAACCCAAAGACCCTGCCGCCTATCTCTGCACCCCAAGCCAGTGAGACTAACTCATACACTCAGAAGCCCATCCCAGCCCTGCAGCCAGCCCCACCTCTGGCCTTTATCCAGCTTCCCAGACAAAAGGTGTCACTTGGTCATACATACCCCTCCCAGGCTCAGGTTACAGAAAGCATCAGCCACTGTGTATGTGGGGGAGAGACATAGAAATTCCCATCACTATCTAGGTATTGGTGCAGTCCACAGGGAAACTAAGGCACACACACGGAGTTACTAAGGTCAGTAGAAACTACTCGCAACATAACAAAGCAACAGAGCAAACACAATTCCCAGATCATCACATCTGGGCTATAGGACACTTGCCTGTGCCAGCAGAGAATTAAAAGAGAAGGGTGGGGAAGCGCTAGGATGGGTTCCCTAGGGAGGGGGTGGAATCTCCATCCCTAGAGGTTTTTAAGTCCCAGCTTGGCAAAGCCCTGGCTGGGATGATTGAGTTGGGGTTGGTCCTGCTTTGGGCAGAGGGCTGGACTCGATGACTCCTGAGGTCTCTTCCAGCCTTAGGATTCTATGCAATAACACTAAACTGTACTTTACATCAAGTTTAGAGGAAGGGTAGAGGAATCCCAGCTATTTAGTTACACCAAGATCTCTCCCTGGGTCAAAACCATTTGGAAAAAATCTTTACAATCCTAATGTGCTATCCCAAGAATTCATTTTAGTCAAGACGATTAATTCAAGAAACATGTACTGTCCTCAGTGCCCACTCAGTTCAGTGAGAGATGTTCTCTAATTGAAGGGCCCCATGTGGTCTTAATCTGTGCACATTAAGCAGACTTCTGCAAAATCTTCCATATATACATTTAATACATCTTGGAATTGAACAGAGAAGAGTGTTTCATACATTAAACATACATGCTCCCTGAACAAATGTTTAATAGGTAATCTTCTTCCTTGTTATCGTCTACCACTGATTTTAAGAAGGGCAGGAGACTGGACTCGATGACCTCTCGAGGTCCTCCAGTCCTACTATTCTGTGATTCTATGATTCTTTCTAGGGGAAGATTAGCTTGCTTCTTTAGTCAGTTTAAACACTATCTGGGAGTTAGAAACGGAAATGGTCTAGCTAGCAGGATCCACATCTCATCTGTCCTATGACTAGCATAGGATTGCCTCCTGTATGTTCTCAAGGGCTGTCCGTAGTCTAACCAATTTCTTTGATCCAAATATTTTCCTGATATTCAGCATACATTTTCTTTCTCTTCATTTCAACCGGTTTGGAGCCCCTAGAACATTCAGAATAGTGTAGGAAAGGGTGTAGCACTGACTCACATGAGCAGCTTAGGCATGTCTATTGATCTTCAGCATCACCTAGTTCAATTTGTTATGGCATTTCTTTCTAGTGCTAGAGCCGCATGTCTCTGAGGAAATCACACAGTGCTTCAGAGAGCGCTGGGTATCCTAGGAGCCCAGGGGGAGATGCTTATCACACAGTTTGACAAGACTACTTGCTGTGACCCTAAGTAAATATGGCATTAACAATATTACCATAGCGTGAAACATACAGGAATTCCACTTATACATCTGCGAACAGTACTATCATAAGGTCCAAGCCAACACCCATCAAAATCAATGGGAGTCTTGCCACTCGCTTTAATGGACAGTGGACCAACTCTTTAGGCAACAGCAAATTCTGGAAAGGCAAGGGTACAGCCTTCATCTCTTACCTGTAGAAGAACAGATACCAGGGCAGCTTTTATTACTGTGATGCCATCCTTCAGGACTTGAACTACATGGTAAGAACCATTATCAGAAGATAAGAATTCTTCAAAATATTCCTTTGGAAACTGGTGAGTTATCCTGAGGTTCTGCAAAACAACAAAAACCAGAAATCAACGAAGGACCTACTTCTCAGAGACACTGGATCCACTTTCTATCGGCAGAATCACAAACCATACAGATAGAGAATTCTGCAGGGCCATGACACATGCAAACGCACGCTGGCGTTCCTAAGTTAACATGGTTCTGAAACAACTATAGCAGGGAATGTATTCTGGATACAGCTGGGTAAATGAAGGCCCCAGTCATCCTACTTTGGTTTCTGAATTGGACTGAAGAAAAATTTTCCATAGGAAACAGCTTGTTAGGAGAACAACCCCGACAAACCTCTGAGAGTTAAGGAAACATTGTCATTGCCATTTTAATTACAGCCGGTCCCCGACTTACGAACGAGTTACAGACCAAACACTTGGTCGTAACTCGAAGTGTTCGTAAGTTGGACCCCGTTCATTTGCACGTGACAGCGCTGTCTGTAAGCGCGGGCTGCGTGCGTAACTCGGGGACCAGCTGTACACTGGCACAAAGGCTCAAGAAGATAGAACTGACTTGCATAAGGTCACTATAAGCCACTACTGGTCAAACCTCTCTCAACTGGGACTCTCTGGTGCGGCAACATCCAGGGTCCAGCAGGACCACTGATGTTGCTGGACCAAAGAGACCTAGTGAAGGGCCAGAGGCAGGAGCCCTGCAGGGACTGGGGACCCAGCGAGGGTGGCTGCAGGGAAGCCAGTGGCTGACAGTCCTGCCGTGCGAGTCCAGCGGAGCCGGTGGCAGGGTGGCTGGAATGCCAGCGGACCCCAGCAGGGCAGCAGTCTGCTGTGGTGGGGCCAGTGCTTCCCTGGTAGGACTGACAGGTCGGGAACCCTAGCAGCTGAGCAGCACTCTGCCATGGTGGGGGGGTGGCAGAAATGGGAGTCCTGCGGCAGGACTGCGGGCTGGTGGGGCCAGTGCTGCTGTTGTAGAATTGGCAGGACTGGGAGCACCAGGAGCGGGGCAGTGGTTTGCTGCGGTGAAGCTCAGAGCCTCACCAGTGGGACTGCGGGCTGGTGGGGCCAGTGCTGCTGTTGTAGAATTGGCAGGACTGGGAGCACCAGGAGCGGGGCAGTGGTTTGCTGTGGTGAAGCTCAGAGCCTCACCAGTGGGACTGCGGGCTGGTGGGGCCAGTGCTGCTGTTGTAGAATTGGCAGGACTGGGAGCACCAGGAGCGGGGCAGTGGTTTGCTGTGGTGAAGCTCAGAGCCTCACCAGTGGGACTGCGGGCTGGTGGGGCCAGTGCTGCTGTTGTAGAATTGGCAGGACTGGGAGCACCAGGAGCGGGGCAGTGGTTTGCTGTGGTGAAGCTCAGAGCCTCACCAGTGGGACTGCGGGCTGGTGGGGCCAGTGCTGCTGTTGTAGAATTGGCAGGACTGGGAGCACCAGGAGCGGGGCAGTGGTTTGCTGTGGTGAAGCTCAGAGCCTCACCAGTGGGACTGCGGGCTGGTGGGGCCAGTGCTGCTGTTGTAGAATTGGCAGGACTGGGAGCACCAGGAGCGGGGCAGTGGTTTGCTGTGGTGAAGCTCAGAGCCTCACCAGTGGGACTGCGGGCTGGTGGGGCCAGTGCTGCTGTTGTAGAATTGGCAGGACTGGGAGCACCAGGAGCGGGGCAGTGGTTTGCTGTGGTGAAGCTCAGAGCCTCACCAGTGGGACTGCGGGCTGGTGGGGCCAGTGCTGCTGTTGTAGAATTGGCAGGACTGGGAGCACCAGGAGCGGGGCAGTGGTTTGCTGTGGTGAAGCTCAGAGCCTCACCAGTGGGACTGCGGGCTGGTGGGGCCAGTGCTGCTGTTGTAGAATTGGCAGGACTGGGAGCACCAGGAGCGGGGCACTGGTTTGCTGTGGTGAAGCTCAGAGCCTCACCAGTGGGACTGCGGGCTGCCGGCTGAGAGGCCAGGCCAGAAGGAGCGGGGCATGGGGGGCCAGTGGCAGGGGGGCAGAAATTACCTTCCCTGGTTTGGCAAAATCCCTCCTTCAGGACTACTCAGGTCCCGAGGGAGCCAGACCAGGGAGGTCCAACCTGTGGTAAATAGCTTGGACTAGTTCTAATTAGACTTTGAAAGGATCTGAATCCCTCAGTTGATGAAGTTGTGGGTCTGTCTGTAAGGTATAAAGTACAACCCCCTTCCCTTTGGGAGATGCTCATGTTTTTAATGTTATACATACTCACATCAGATAAATAGACTTTAGTGCTGGCTTTATCATACACTTCAACAGTGACTGTGTATGCTCGCTTCACTTCTAGAACCCACCTGTCTCCTGGCTGAACAGTGAACCCTGAAATAAAATGTAACAGGAAGTGGCTTATTAAAAGAAAGAAAATCATTTTTTAAAAACCCATCTAGGTTTCAGTTTAATTAATATAATGGTGGTGAAAGGAAATGGAGCAACAGCTTTGAAGACTGTGGCTTTCTTTTCATCTCCTGCCGAATGGAAGAACACAGGCAACAGTAAATGCACATTTCTCTGCAATGCACCTAACTGCTACTCTGGACCACTTACAGAAGCAAGAAAGAACTGACTTGCGACTACCTGAGTTCCAACCCTCTGCACTTAACAATTTTTGTAAGTGCGGAAGGGGCCAAAACCCCCCGCACGGTGCCTATCGTCAATGAGGGTTCGAGTTACAACTCCCCCAACTTGCAACACTTCCCCAGGAACCAATTGTGTCACAAGTCGGAGGCCTCCTGTAAATTGCCGGCAAAGGGGCAATTTAAACCAGTGTTCAGTTTTGAGATACTTCACTTAGGAAGGAACAATCCGTTTCACACATACAGAATGGGAAGCAACTGTCTAGGAAGGAGTACTGCAGAAAGGGATCTAGGGGTCAGAGTGGACCACGAGCTAAATATGAGTCAACAGTGCGACACCGTTGCAAAAAAAAAAAAAAAAAGCATACATGATTCTGGGATGCATCAACAGGAGTATTGTGAGCAAGACATAAGTCATTCTTCGGCTCTTCTCTGCACTGATTTGGCCTCAAATGGAGTATTGTGTTCAATTTTGGGCACCACAAAGATGTGGAGAAATTGGAGAAGGTCCAGAGAAGAGCAAAAAAAAAATGATTATAAGTCTAGAAAATGTGACCTATGAAGGAACTTACTTAGTTTGGAAAACAGAAAACTGAGAGGGGACATGATAGCGGTTTTCAGGTATCTAAAAGGGTGTCACAGGGAGGAGGGGAGAAAATTGTTCTTCTTGGCCTCTGAGAAAAGGACAAAAAGCAATGGGCTTAAACTGCAGCAGGGGAGGTTTAGGTTGGACATTAGGAAAAACTTCCTGCGTGTCAGGGTGGTGAAACACTGGGATAAATTGCCTACGGAGGTTGTTGAATCTCCATCTCTGGAGATATTTAAGAGAAGATTAGACAGACACCTATCAGGGATGGTCTAGATGGTGCTTGATCCTGCCATGAGGGCAGGGGACTGGACTCGATGACTTCTCAAGATCCCTTCCAGTTCTAGTGTTTTATGATTCTATTCAGGCATCTGTTCCCTGAAAAGTGAATGAGACTCAACAGCCGTTCAGGAGGTGGTAATTTATGGTCACTATGCACTTACTCTGGATGAGCATTTGTGACGTAAGGGATGGGTCATGGACCCTTTTAAACAACTCACACTGTCTTTTCAACAATTCTTGAGCTCCACACAATTCTCTTATGGAAAATAGCTCAGTAAAGAGCTTAGTTACTTTTAAATAATGTAGCACGACTGTATAAATTCATAAGGCAACTGAGACCCGTTATTTCCATTCTGTGCCATTAATCTTTAAATTTAACTAACTCCTCTAAATTATAGAACAGGCACCTTGCTAAATTTCTGGGTTGTGATTGTGCATGGCTGAATTTTCAAGCACATATATCTGGATGGAGACAAGCAAAGTCTGCTTTTTCAGTAAGACGGTCTCATCTTACTATCATGACCTGTTTCATGAAGTGAAGCTAACTGATCATGAGAATGATCTGTTCATTTACAGAAGACATTTCATTCATAAGGTTCAAAGTGCTTGATACAAAGCAGCCATACAAATTGTGTGCGCACATAAGTGTGTGCATGCGTGTATATATGTATGCCACTTTGCCTGTCAATTCATGCTGTCATGACAAAACGTGGCAAGTGTTGGAATTTGAACATAAGCTTTTAACTAACACTCAATGCTTTAAAATGACCCTAAAAGAAGTACACAATAAACAAAAGTATGCAAAAATTGCCAAGAGGAAGCTTGAAATACCATGGATTATTTTCATTTTTCTGTAAACTATACAAAGAATTTATTTTTAAATGTATTATTAAAACAAACACATATACAGAGCTGTAAATTTACAGAGCACTTTACAAACAAAAACAGCAGGCTTCTGGGTGACAGATATAAAACAAAGTCTAACATGAGCAATACTACCAAATAATTAAGTTACTTCTTTAAAAATCAAACATGTTATTAGACAGTAACATGAAGCAGTAATATTTTAAAATTCAAGCTTTTATCTTATGATTAATTACCTAGAAATCCAGCTTCTACCACATAGATAGTGCAGTTTGGAAGTCCAGATGCAGCTCGCATGTGAATATCTTAGTTTGCACATAAAGAAGGAATTCAGTCTTATTGCGAAAAAGGGAGGTATTAGAGCAACAGAAGCCTTTAAATAAACAACATATCCTTGGATTCTTAAGCTTGTAAGAGAACCTGGAGCCTGAGCCAACTCCCACTGAAGTCAATAAGTGTCTTTTCTCTTGACTTTAATGAAAACTGGACTGTGAACCTGGCAAGGAGTTTCATTCTCATTCCAGAAGTGTCACAGGTGATGGAGCTGAGTTAGGAGGTGAGCAGTGGGTGCTTCCCAATTGGCCACAAAGAATCAATGTTATTGACTTGGGAGTGGATGAATGAGCCTGAAGAAGGGATAGGGGCTGAAGGAAAATCCGTATTCATGACAGAGAGAGTTACCCTAAGAAGTTATAGAATTCTCTGAGATGTTGCAGGAGGGGGTCTCACCAAATCTGCTTTTCATGTCACACCTTTCTGAAGCATGGCTTTACTTAATTTAGGTCTTACATGCTTAGGAAAGAGAAAGGCACCAGTAATAAAGAAGGCTAACATGGTGGTAACTTTATTTAAAGGATACTCTTATGAACAAAGACCAGACTAATCTGTCCCAGCTGAATTGCTGTCACAGTGACTGTGTCCACATCCAGTTTGGCTACCGGAATAACATCAGACCCACCAGGTGCAACAATGGAGTCACGCAGTTCAAGCTCATAATATTCAAAAGGCAACTCCACTTCTGCAGGAAATAAGTTACTTTTAAAAACAGTTATTTCACAATAGTCAATGTCTGCCTTACACAAGATAGTTTCTTTATAAAAGGCACAAATTTGGGCTCCTAGCAACCTAGGAAGTAACCCCACCACACACACACAAGCAGGGGGGAGGGATGTTAGCCCTGAAGACAGTCAAATAGCTGTGTACAAAGCGTTGGCAGCCCTGGCTGGGTAACACTGACTGCAGCCAGCACCTGCGGTTCAAATTTTCAGATCTCACGATTTAAGCACTGTTCTACTCAACAGTCCTTGGCCTCTGTACAGAGGTATCCACTGATATTATGACTTGAGTAGGACACAGACCCCTCACAACGGACAATAGATATGCAGGGAAAATGTATGCTCTATTGGTTCGCAGGGTTTGGTTTAACCTTGGCTTCCCCAGGAGTTCCCCAGCCACTGCAGGAAAGTAAAATACCCCGTCCAAGAAACTTTTGTAATTTTACTTGGAACAAAATTTCTGAATATTTTGGGAAGCTTGGAGTTATTAAAAATAATTTACCTGTGATCTTTCCCTGTACAATTTTAGCAACTTTGTACTTAATGTAGGCTCCAACCAGAAGGTAAATGTCATAGGATGGTATTAGGAATATATTCTCCAGAACCAACAGACGTACCAGTGCAGCAGCTACTTTCTATTGGAGGATGAATAAAAAACAGACGCTTACTACCACTAGGCAAATACTGGACAGAAATGTGTGCGAGAGGACAGCTCCCTCAAGGCTTCAGTATAGGTCAATCAAAAGCAAAGTTTAAAAAGTATTATTGACACAGAACTCTTGGTTTTAATGAGCAAAAGATTTGCCATGATTGTGACAGCAGTGTTACAAGCAAGAGAGAAAGGAGTTTGAGTTTGACATTGACCAGACATCCCATCCTGTTGATATCACACTGTCATTTTATAGCAAAAGGCCACCAGCATCAGGAGATTTCAAAATGCAAACTATTATTAAAATATTATTCAAAAATAAATTGTTACTCATGGGAAGAAGTGTCTTGCCATTTGAAGCTTCTGCCCACAAGATACAGTATTATGTGGCCATTTTATTTTAAAGGGATGGTTAGCTTGAACTCTTGATAATTAAAACAAATGTTACAAGCAGTTTCAAACACTACATCTGCCTGAGTTCCCTCGCTAATTTTTGTGGTTTTACAATCACATATTCCTATTTCTTCTGATGCTGTGTGAAAGACTCCCACAAGCAACCAGAGAAAAATACTAATTGAATTCAACATTTTGAAAAACAGTGAAACTGACTATCCACCAAATGCTGACAAATGCAGCCGCCAACTGAAAAAAACCCTTTTTCTCCAACCTCTTCATTACAGTAATCTTAGGTGTCTTTTTATTCGCTTCTTGTTACAAGCTAGTTGAGACAGAAATGCGATTTTAATTGAGTGTCTTCTTAACCTACTATACATGAATCCATTTAATTGGATTATATTATATTGTATTGTTATATAAAATATATTGTAGGGATTTATTTCTTAATTTATTTCTCAACACCAAACTATCCAAACGTATACATTTTAAATGGAAAATGATTTGAATGGTATCTCTGCCAATAACTTAACAAATAACAGTGCTGATGGTAAAGAAAATATAATTGTAACAAGCACAAGTTTTGTTTTAAATGTGGGAAATCTACAGTAAGAATTCACCTTATAAGCGGGTTCCTGAATTCGGACCTTTATGACAGCTGCACCAGTTTTGATGCCTGATACCAGAATCCTATCTCCTTGTTTTTCTGCTGTTTCCATCTCCACAATGTAGTCTGGTGGGGAATACTCTGCTTCAGAGTATTTCAAAATCCTAAGAAGACCAAACTAGGCTTTTATAGATAGAAAAGGATCTCCATAGTCACGTCTGTTTATATTTTCAATGTGTATAAAAACGTTTTTGTGATCCAAGGATTAACCTTACATGATCATGTGGAACAAGGACCTATGTTAGCCTGAATAAAGGGACAAAATCTCTGTAACTTCTATGTTGATATGTGCACATCCATTCATCACCAATTCGGGGAAACAACAGACCTCCCCACCTCCCATGGGTGTACATGGCAACAGAACAGAGTGAGGTAGTGTCCCCACAGGTATCTGAAGCTATTTCTCTATAGAACTCTCCATCTGCACGCAGGGTATGTCTACACTGCAACGCTATTTTGGGCTACCAGAGTATCCAGAAATGGCTATCCCAAGTCTTCACAGAAAGCCTGTTATTTCAGGCTCACTGTTCCAAAGTCCCTGTAAACCTCATTTTACGAGGAGGAAAGGTATGTCTACACTACAGAGTTTTTTTTTCAGAAAAACAACTGTTTTTCCGACAAAACTTGAGGAATATTCACACTGCAATTGCATTCTTCTGCAAGAAAATCGAAAGAACAGAGGGGTTTTTTTGGCATTGGTAATCCTCATTCTACGACAAAGAAGCCTTTTTGTGAAAGAGCTCTTTCGCAAAAAGGCATATATGGATGGGGAAGAGGGAGTTCTTTCGGAAGAAGAGGAAAGAGGAAAAAGCACAGGTGCCCTGGTGGCCGTTCTGTCCATAGCAATCACAGCTTACATGTGAGAGTGTCCATTCAGTCTGGATGCTCTCTTTCGAAAAAGCACATTGCTTTTTCGATGCACTTTTGCAGCGTGAACGCTCTGCTCTGCCGAAAAAAACTTCTTCTGAAAGAAGCCTGCAGTTTAGATGTAGCCGAAGGAACATTTCAGAATAGTGCTATATTTCGAAATTTGGCACTGTGTAGACAGTGCCAAATGATTAAATAAGCTATTTCCAAATAGCACTGAAATAAGATACGCAATTCATGTAGCTCAAATTGCATATCTTATTTGGAATTATGGTCCAGTGTAGATGCACCCTCAGTGTCTAATTACAGCCATACGAACCACAAGTATTCTTTCAGCCAGCTTCTGCTGCCTTTGTCTTTACCAGCAGGGGGACTTCTGTGGGATTGAAGAGTCAGCCCATAAACTTGGAAATCAGAGAACCCAGGAAGAATATTACTGACCCACTGTTACTTTGGGAAAATCAATTCTCTTCTCTGCATTCCCATTTACCCATAAGTAAAATGGAGATAATAGTATCTCCTGCCTTACTGGGAGGTGCTGGGATGAAAGGTGCTATAGAAATGCAACAGATGATATTTATTAATCATTCTAAATATCGTTACCTAATTTTGCTAGACAGTTCTAAGCCTTCCATGTCATCGTCCTTAGCAATGCTCCACTCAAATCTCATTCCTGACAAACTACTGAATGTATTTCCTGAAGACAGAAACCAAACAGGCCAACTCAGAAATATGTGCTGGTGAACACACATTTTTAGTTATGGAGGCATGCCCAACTAAATGAGTTATTTTATTTTCTACTGTCTACTATGAGAACTGGGAAAGCTCCTCACGTCCCTTTACAGAATGGTGAACAAACCAGCCACAGGCCCATGCTCCACGTGTAGAATATTTCTGATGACAACTCCTGTACACTTGTGCATGCCTATTACAACTGAAAATATTTCTAACCCTATCCAACTTCTCCTTAAACATGCACAGGCATGCAAACCCATGTACAGACAAAACACAAACTAGGATGAGAAGAACATTATTTTATTTTCATGCTGAAAATTAGCTGCAATGAGCTTATAATATTTTTAAACAATTATTAGTAAATTGACTCTGTGGTTGGGGACAACAGCAAAGAAAAATATTTTGGCTACTGTTATCTAGGTTTTTATACTAGGTTCATTAACATGGCACCTGAGAACCTTGCAATGTTACACAAGTTGTTATGCTCAAGCTAAGTGGGAAACTATTTTTACTCAGCACTTCAAAAGAACGATAATCTGAAGCACACTCCATTTTCATGTTGCTCATATTAAAACGTTAGGAACTAGTTAGAAACAGGCGTATTTTCCCTACTTGAAAATGAGGTAGCACATGAAATATCATAGGAGCTTGTAATACGCCCAAAAGTTTCTACATTGAGGCTGGGAACAAAATCTGCTACATAACATAATCAGTGTTCCCTGTAAGCTGAGTGCCTGGGCGGCCACCCAGGAGAGATTCAAATGCAGCCCAGTTGATTAGCAAAGCACCCACCGCTTCCCACAACTGCCACCATTTGTTACTATTGGTGGTGCACATCTGCACATGCCTTGGTGCACATAACACAATTTATTGCGCAAATGGATGGAAAAATGAGGGAACACTGAACATCATGCAATCTTTAAAACACTCAGATGAAGGGATGTCATCATTTCTTAGGTGGCAGAGTTCAATCCTGGGAGTTGCCCCAGCAGTTTGTCCAGCGTTACTGTACCTTCAATATCCAGAGCTCTCACAGTTAACTCAAGTGGAGAATCTTCCACATAGATTTCTCGGGTTCGGGAGATAATTTCAATACTGTTTATCATATCGACAATGATGTCACAACGTAGTAAATGGCCTGTCACTAAAATGTGAGAATAAATGAGTATGCCTTAATTCAACATCCTGTAAATCTATGCTGATTTCCCAAATCTTGAGAAGGTAGTACTATTGAAGAAAAAAACAAAAACAAAAAAGAAAGCTATGATTCTGAAATCAGAGCGGGGAGGAGGAGGCACCTTTGTGAGAAAGCACAAATTTCTCAACCAAGCCTCTGAAAAGTCCATTCTGGGACTATGATGGGCATAGATGTTATACAGTTAAACATTTTGTTCTTATTCTTCCTTGAGTCATGTTCGGACTGTGGTGTGCCCACTGTATGGCACTGTCATTCCCCATGTACATCACTCAAATCTCTGATTTTGAAACGAACAATGAGATACACCACAATTCCACATCCTGCATTTCCACATCCTGCATTATTAAAAACACAGCGCGAGAACTACAGTGGCCAATCCTGAATGTGTCTCTCTGGGGAGACATGGATGATTTGATGAGCCTATTCTACCTCAGCCCTGCATGCCCCTACTAGACACCTCATTCCTTCCTTATCTTGTTCCTCTTTATCCACCTACCAAGCTCCTCAGCTATAACAACGCTGCTTAGCTTTGTGGCCTGTGTAGACTGAGTAGACAGCAAAGCTTTTTGTGAACAAGTGGTACCATTCTCGTAAATCGGCTCAATGGTGACTGTATCGTGACGTGTGGAATACCTGGAAAACAGAGAGATGTGGATCCTTTTATTCATATTTTTATTATCTGGACAAAATAAGGAAGGTGCTACTTTTCCCCAGCATATTACAGAGAGATTCACCATCAGATGGACCTGCAACTCAGTATAAGGAGTAGAGATGTTAAATTTAGATTAACTGGTTAATCGAATAGTCGATGCAATTTGTACTGACTATTCGATTAGTTGATAAGACCTCTGCCTTTGAAGTGCAGCAACAGCCCCAGGGCTGTTACTATGCTTCTAAAGCAAAAGCGCTGCAGGGAGCACAGGGCCAACCAAGCTCCCTGCGGCGTTTCAAAGCAGCAGCGCCACATGGAGCCCAGGGTCAGTTGGGGACTCAGAATCCCAGCTGAGTGACGCTGCTGCTTTGAAACGCCGCTGGGAGCACAGGCCAGCTGCCGCTTTGAAGCACCCCCTTCTCCCCACCCTTGCTGCCTCTTTCTGATAGAGGCAGCAAGGGGGGGAAGCAACTAGTCAACTAGCGTGTCGACTAGTCGCTCACTGTGATGGCGCGTCGGGGTTCCCCCCAATCCTGCAGCCAGAACAGACTCCACCAGCCAGTAGAACAGAGAGGGTTTATTGCTTCTCCAGGATACAACACAGCATAGACGTGATGTGGTTACAGGAGTCAGGGATAGGATGCCTCAGACCCTTGGGTTAGGGGATCCATTGCCCCCTCAACCCTCAGCATTCAGCTTAGTCTGTTCCCTTTATGTTTCCCAGCCAGAAACTACCCCGCTCCCAGACTCTGCCCCCAGCCAGGTGGCCCTCTCTCCCGCCCTTCCTTTGTCTCTTCCTCTGGGAAGAAAGAACTTGTTATCTGCTCAAACTGGGACTAGGTGTCTGGGCCAATACACATATGGGTGAGTCAGTGGGAATCACACATCATAGCTCAGGGGAACCCTGGGTTACAGAGCAGACAGCACCCCCACGATTTCACACTCACATCCCTAATAAAGAGGTGTCTTAGGCTCTGTCTACACTACAAGGTTATTTCCACATAAGTTATTTTGAAATAATAATTCCCAAAATAACTATTTGGAAAAAACCAACAAATGGTCTGGTAGCACTTTATAGACTAACGAAACATGTAGATGGTGTCATGAGCTTTTGTGGGTCTAGCCCACTTCTTCAGATGACCGGAGTGGGCTGTGCCCACGAAAGCTCACGATACCATCTACATGTTTCGTTAGTCTGTAAAGTGCTACCAGACCATTTGTTGTTTTTTTCTGTAACAAACTAACTTGGCCACCCCTTGAAGCTATTTGGAAATAGCACGTCTACACTACAAATCCCCATCGAGATAGCACAGATTTATGTCAAAATAGCACATCCTCCCTGATTGGAACCTGAATTATGTTTAAAGCCCCCGAAAGCCCTCTGGGCAGCACATTAGGAGAGCAGTCACTTCCTGTAGCTGCTTTCTGAGGCTTGTACTTAAAGGGGCTCCTCTCTACAGCCGAGTCTCAGACTCTTCTCCATTGCCTACCTCCTCAAGGGACGGCAAACACCACACTGTGTGCTCTGGTTGCCCTTGCGGATGCCACAGCACCTTCACCATGGAGCCAGACCTGCTGCAAAGCAGTGTCAGGCTCTTAGACCTCCTGCTGCAACTCCTGGCACAGTTTATGCAGAGTGCCCTCATGGCCTTCCCCACAGGCTGGGAGCCCTCTAACCCTCCAAAAGCTTGTGTGTGCCTCCCAAAGAGTGGGGACTGTCTATCCATAACCAAATAGGCCAAAACCCCTCTAGTTCCACAGAGTCTCAGCTGCTCTCCTCCCCATAGACTCCTTCTGAATAGAGATCTGGGCCTCTCTCTGCTATGGGATGCGAACATGTAGTTGACTAGTTAATTAACCGATAAGCCTAGGCTTACCAGTTAATCTAGCTGACTACTTGCATTTCCCTCTCTCTTGCTGCCTCTGTACCAGAGGCAGCTGGGGGGGTGGGGAAAGGAAGCAGGAGCCGGTGCTGGGGGAACCAGCTTAAAAGCTGGTTCCCCCCAGCATAGGCTCCATGGTGCCGCCTGCCTCCCTCCACCTCGCAAAGAGTGGGGAGGAGGCCAGGGGACAGCAGCCTCTCCCCGCAGCAAACGCTGGCTTGTGGCAGCCTCCCCCAACCCTTTCCCCCTCACCAGCAGCCTCTGTCTGTAGGGAGCTTGGACCCTCTATGGACAGGGGCTGCTGCCACCCCATGCTGCTGCCTCTGCATCAGATACAGAGGCACCAGTACAAGGTGGCAGGAGGCTCCCTGGGAGTGGAGCCAGATTGCACTGGCTGCTGGCCCCCAGAGACTATAGAATACTTGACTAACTGCTAAGTATTCATGCAGTTAGTTGAGTATTCTATTACCCACTATCTGTGGTACTCTGCTACCACAGACCCAGCTCCTTACTCCTAACCATTGCCATAGTTCCACAACTTGAATGCTGTGTGTAAACATGGTCACTCCATCTCAAAAAAGATTTATTGGAATTTAAAAAGATTCAGAAAAGGGCAACAAAAATGATTAGGGACCCAGAACAGCTTCCATAAAAGAAGAGATTAATAAGACAGGGATTTTTCAGCTTGGAAAAGAGATGACTAAAATCTATAAAATCATTTCTGGTTTAAATAACGTAAAAAAAGATGCGTTAATTACTCCTTATCATAACACTAGAACTAGCAGGTCATCTAGTTCATTAATAGGCAGCAGGTTTAAAACAAACAAACTTTCCCAGAGAGTAGTTATTAATGGTTCACAGCCATGCTGGAAGGGCATAACATGTGGGGTTCCACAGGGGTCTATTTTGGGACTGGTTCTGTTCAATATCTTCATCAATGATTTAGATGATGGCATAGGGAGTACATTTATTAAGTATGCAGATGATACGAAGCTGGGAGGGGTTGCAACTGCTTTGGAGGATAGAGTAATAATTCAAAATGCTCTGGACAAATTGGAGAAATGGTCTGAGGTAAATAGGATGAAGTTTAATAAGGAGAAATGCAAAGTGCTCCACTTTGGAAGGAACAATCCATTTCACACATACAGAATGGAAAGCGACTATCTCGGAAGGAGTACGGCAGAAAGGGATCTAGGAGTCAGAGTGGACCATGAGCTAAATATGAGTCAACAGTGTGACACTGTTGTAAAAAAAGCAAACATGTTTCTGGGATGCATTAACAGGAGTGTTGTGAGCAACAAACAAGAAATCATTCTTCCACTCTACTCTGCGTGGATTAGGCCTCAGTTGGAGTACTGTGTCCAGTCCTGGGCACCACATTTCAAGAAAGATGTGGAGAAATTGGAGAGGATCCAGGGAAGAGCAACAAAAATGATGAAAGGTCTGGAAAACATGAGCTATAAGGCAAGGTTGAAGGAACTGAGCTTGTTTAGTTTGGAAAGGAGAAAACTGAGAGGGAACATGATACCGGTTTTTTCAGGTATCTAAAAGGGTGTCACAAGGCGGAGGAGGGAACATTGTTCTCCTTGGCCTCTGAGGATAGGACAAGAAGCAATGGGCTTAAACTGCAGCAAGGGAGGTTCAGGTTGGACATTAGGAAAAACTTCCTGCGTGTCAGGGTGGTGAAACACTGGAATAAATTGCCTAGGGAGGCTGTGGAATCTCCATCACTCGAGATATTTAAGAGCAAGTTAGACAGACACCTATCAGGTACTATATAGATCATGATTGGTCCTGCCATGAGGGCAGGGGACTGGATTTGATGATCTCTCCGGGTCCCTTCCAGTTCTAGTATTCTATAGAATACTAGAAACAAAAGGAAGTATTTTTCACACTAAATACAACCTGTGGAACTCCCTGCCAGAGGATGTTGCAAAGGCCAAGACTACAACAGGGTTCAAAGAAAAACCAGGTAAGTTAATGGAGGATAGGTCCACCAATGGCTATAAACCAGAATGGGCAGCTATGATGTTCCTAACCTAATTTTGCCAGAAGCTGGGAACAAGTGACAAGGGATGGATCACTTCAACACCTGTTGTGTTCATTCCCTGAGGCACCTGGCACCGGCCACTGTCAGAAGACAGTGAGTTGGATGGACCTTTGGTCTGACCAACGGTACGTCTCTGTGGGCTGCCACTGAGGCTAAGCTCCCTACCGTCTCCTCAATCCAAACCCACGTTCCCCCTCTCCGGCAAAGCCCTCCCGCATCGCTAGGCCTAACTTCCCTCAACCCTACACCCACAGCCCAAATACCTGGCCTGTCCGTCCCTCCCAGCACCAGGAGAGCCGCCCACAGGACCCTCCTGCACAGGGTTGCCAGGTGTCCGGTTTTTGCCCGGACAGTCTGTTTTTTCTGGGCCCTGTACAGTAAAAAAAAAAAATGAAACCAGAAAATACCGGACTTGTAAAATGACAATCTTCCCCTGCTGTGTCTGGCGTGGAGAAGAGAGGAGTGCAGGGATTCTTAAAGGTGCAGCGACTTTTGCTCAACAACTTTTGTCTTCTTGGGGGTGGGTTTTTTTTTTGCGCTCAACAAGTCTGGGCTCCCAGTTTTTGTTTGTTTGTTTTTTGCCACGTTCGGGATTTTTGGTGAAAGCATCTGGCAAGCCTACTCCTGCAGCCCCAGCCCCACAGCCCTGTCCCACCCCAGAC